AATCAGAACAATAGCTAAGTCGGTTATTGCTAAATTACAACCATGCCGCTCAGTGTGTAGCATTCATACTGCGTCAGGTTTTCGTTTGAATAGTTCCAGCTATTTTATCTAGCACATGGTAAGTAACTATTTACAGTGCCAGGTGGGTGAAGTAGCTCCCCCCCATCAGATGGAAATTCTAGCTGCAGAAAAATGCAGAAAAAAAAGTTGCGGGGCAGATTTAAAGACAAATTGTAAGTATACGATGGGTTGTATGAAGCATGCCTGTAGTTCGAGACTTTGTTTGATTTTAAATGTTACTAATTAAAAATTCCTTTGATGGATATAGCAGATGGAATTACGACAAAGCAGCAGTGCATTCATTGTGCTTAACAGTAATGACTAAACAAATAAGCGCAGGCTGTGGACTGTGGAAAGTCAGTGGAGTCTAGACTGCTTCCTAAACAAGGTCATAAAAATGATGAACCTAACATACAGCTCTGTGCCTGAATACGAGAGATTGAATTTCACTGATTGACTGTCAGCGAGTGCCAAGTCATCTCTGTTGATACATGAGCAGACACACTGTCTCTGCTCTGAGAGAGAGACAGACAGAGAGAGAGAGAGAGAGAGAGAGAGTGAGAGAGAGAAAGACAGAATGAGAGTAAAAATATGAGAGAGACAGAGAGAAAGAGAGAGAGAGAGAGAGAGAGAAAGAGAGAGAGAGAGAGAGACTAGAGAGAGAGAAAGAAAATGAGAGAGAGAGAGACTAGAGAGAGAGAAAGAAAATGAGAGAAAGAGAGAAAATTAGATAGATAGATAGATAGATAGATAGATAGACAGATAGATAGATAGATAAAACAGATACAGAGAGGGAGAGGAGAGATTAAAAAGAGCGCGAGAATCAGAGAAAAAGAGAGCAGGAAGAAAATGACAGAGCAAGGCAGATAGAGAGAGACTTATGAAGAGAGAGAGAAAAAGAGAAGGAAAGGACAGATAAAGGAGAGACAGATGGTGAAATAAAAAGAGGGACAGAAAAAGAGAAAAGTGAGAGAGATAAAGAGAGAGAGACAGACATTAAGACATTTAGAGAGCAGAAAGAGAGGGAGATAAAATGGGAAAGAGAAAGACAGACAGAGAGAGAACGACAGAGAGAAAGAAAGCAGGAAATACAGATATAAACAGAGATAAAGACATGAAGAGAGCAAGACAATAAAGAAATACAGATAAACAGAAAAAGGGATAAACAGAGTGAAAAACAAAAACAAAGAAAAAAAGGAGAGAGAAAATGAGAGAGAGAAGGAGAGAAAAAGAGTGAGGGAGAGAGAGAGAGAGAGAGAGAGAGAGAGAGAGAGAGAGAGAGAGAGACCCTTCGCTGTCAGGTAAATTTTACACAGCCGTAGTGACAGAAGACAACAACAGTTCCTTTAAACCTTAAAAACAATCCTCAGGAGTTTCAGATACAGGCTTTTCTGGACTGTAGACTGTGGACTGCAGTGAAAATAGAGCATAATTGTTTTTATTTGTAATTAATCATTGTCTCTTTTAACAGAACTAAAATTATTTAAGTGTAATAAGTGCATGGCAGCCTTGGCAGTGTGCACAAAAACATAATCCATCTCCATTTGTGAGGCCTAAGGGTTAATGTTTTGGGGGACGTAACCAAGCAACCTCGGGTTAACAGTTGCAGACAAAACCCAGTGGGGAATTTTGTAGCTAATTATCTGGAGGTTTCTCTGCGCATCCCTGACAGCGAGACAGCAGGAGCAGGGGACTGGGGTGGGGGTTAGTGGAGGACAAGAGAGGAAATGGGGATGTAATCACAGAGCAGAGCCAGACACGGCTCCAGGCAGCCACACTGAAACAGCTCCCATGTCGGCTCCGCTGAATATGTTAATTTAAAGGAGTACTCCAGCTTTTTTAAACATAATCACTGTCTGCTGCATCTGTAGTGTACGGTCGGTTACCACAGACAATAACTTCAAAATTGTTCTCTATTTTCACAACAGAATGAAAAACTTGTTGACTCAAAACGCTCTTATAATAGAAGCTATTGGGCAGTTGCTAGATTCCATCAGTGAACGTCATATTTTTGTAAGTGTTTTTATTCGTTAAACAAGTTTATTAATTCTTCTGTGTAAGTTACTCATAAAAGAAGCTGTAAATCTGTATAATTCTATGTTTCAGAGATTGGGACTAGTTTTCCAGAGGGGAGAATTTGCGCTGTATGTTAGCCGTGTAGTGATATGAGTAGAGTTTTCACAGATTACTGCCTGATTGTTGATGTATACCAGAAAACCTGGTACTTATGTGATGTCACTGTATGACCACACCACCATTTTGATGAATCACGATATAATCTGCATGCTTTACCAATGAACACAAGAACAGCCATCAGAAAACAGAAACTAATTGATGATGATTGAATGAATGATGACGATCGCAACAAGCGACTTCAAAAATCTGACTTAAAAAAACCTGACAAAGCCAAATTCCACAGGTCAGTAGAGTGTGAAACGCCCTTTCCAATGGGCTCTCAAACACTTTCGTCGCCTTCAGGAAACGGAGATATGGACCTTGAAATCACCAGGCTCCTCACCTGTTGTCTTTTCTGAGACCCATTTTGTTACTGTCATAATCATGCGATCAGCAACGAGTCGACATCAAGCTTAAAGCATCATCACCGAGCAGTAAAGTTGACTAGTCTCTGCGACCCCTAATGGAGAATGTGTTGTATTCTATATAGAATATAGACACCTTATAAAAATGGTTCTATAGCACCAAAAAGCGTTCTTTTATTGTTACAAGCTTGACATCATAACAATAGCAGAACCCTTTCAGTGTTACATTGAACCATTTTTAAAAGGTTTTTATAGAAATGTTCAACACATTCTTCATCGACCTGAAGAACAATTTCACCATGCAAAGAACCATTTAAGCATGAAGTAGTTCTATATAGAACTCACTGTCTTTACTAAAGAAGCCTCAAAGAACCATCTTTTTAATTGTGTAATCAAACTGATCAACACTATCACTCTGCCCAACCCTGAGGCCGGACCACAAGGTTGGTTCACTTGATAATCTACGTCACGTAACATAGATAATGTACCCATATTCTCTCTCTCATTCACATACATATGTGCATTACATAGCCACATATTTCACATAGTTCAGCAACTACTCAGTGGCTTCTATTAGAACTGAGTTTTGAGTCAACTGGTTTTCAGTTCATTTGCTGTACAGTAAAAGGTGTAATTATTATTTGTGGTAATTGAAGGTTATGATACAGATGCAACAGATAGAGATTAGGTTGAAAATCTCTGGAATATTCATTAAGCCCATGTATTTTCCTACTATCAAAACCAAACCATGTGAGTGAAATGTTTAGTTTACAAAGTTTCAATCTGATTTTCTTTACCCCTCATCATGCCCATAGTGATGCATACACTTGCAAAAGTGCAAAAGTTTTAGACACCTGAGAAAATGGTATTTAAGCATTTATTGGCCCAAAAAAAAACCCCATTAAAATTGAAGCAATTACAAACAACATTAATACAGTAAACAGTAACTTTATATCTGTCAGTGGTTTTGTTTATTTATTTCCGGTTTCTCTGATATATTGTGTGTTTACTGGCAAAAACATACTGCTGAGATAAATGGTTTTAAACCATTTGTTTAGGTTTAGACTTTTGTATAGTAAGGTATGCCTGCATCAGAGAATGAAGTGTTTTATAACATCAATAATCTATAGACTAGACCTTGTAAAATCGTCTACTTGTATACTTTGTTTTTTAAATTTTCAAAACCACTTATTCAACAATTCAGTTGCTGAAACAACAGACCAAAACACCAAAATCTCTTTCTTTCTGTAGAACAGCACATTTTAGCTTAAAATGGCCTATAACAACTAGTGTTGTCCCAATAATGTATCAGTATCGGTATTAGTATTGGCAATAGAGAATACCAATATGTGTGCCATGTGCACCAGTATTTGAAGCTTAATTGAAGCAAACAGTGTCTGCGGTGTGGGATTATTTCATGTTCAAGACAAGCAGTAGCCAAAATGCTCAAAGCAAAATCTGTAATGCCAGTATTTTAGGGGAGGCAAGACCAGCAAAGATTTCAATACGTAAAATTGAATTAAGCATTTAGAGGCAAACCGTGGCAAAGAGCGCAGTGACTTTCCATCTCTGAAACCATTAAAATGTGACGTTACCCAGCCAGTAAACGCCATCCATTCAAGCTTAGTATGTTTTATTCGTGACTCAGAACCTGCTTTCAAAATACAACATTTAAAATGGAAAAGTATAAATATGAGAATTATAACACTATCAAGTAGTTCTTTTAGAGTTAGGAATGGTACTCTGTATCGGCAGTTACTTCAGTATCAGTAACGGAAGGGAAAAAGTGGTAAAAAAAAAACAATATGAAGGACGTAAGCAACACAACTAGGACAACTCCGCAGTAAAAAAAAAAAGATGTCTGTGTAAATATATATGTAAGCAGAAGTAAAGTAGAATTAAAGAAGGTGTAGTAAAGAAGTAAGAAACTCGAATAAAGACAGAACTCGAAAAATCTAAAATCATTAGAAACACACCATCAAAATATGTAGCATTTCAACATAATACATCACAGTCAACAATGCAAATCAAGGACCAGAACTATATAGTAGCACATGTACCAGGCACTGTATGAATGGACACGTTGTTTATCCAGAATGGTTTATAACTGATTCTCTTAAAAAATTGTTTTGTGTGTAAGCAGTGAGAACATGTTTAGTGTTCTGTAGAATATTATACGTAATGCTAAACGGTTTGTTGGAAGTTTTCAGTTCGGTAAACAACAGTCTGATCTGGCGAGGTGGGGTACATAAACTTTGTAAACTTCAAAGTAATCATCAAGACTGCATGCACTATATTGCAAACCTTGGAACTTCTTTAAATATTTGATAACCGGTCATCGTAAATTGCCCTGGAGAGGTGTATACGGGATACAATGTCAGGCACTCATATTCAGCTTACCTCGCACATCAGCAGAAAACCTGGCAGAGTGTCGAGAAACAAAAAGCTTCAGCTCCTGGTCCAGGTTGCAGTCAATGAGATTTGTGTCCCATGAACGAATTCCTGCGAGTGAGAAAAGGAAATTAGAAAAAAAGAACAAAAATGCACATCTGTCCTCGTCATGTTAGAAATTCTGTTTAATCAGGAATGAATTTTGAATACATGACTAAGTATGCTAATATATGCCAACTGGTTTTATTCATTAGTTGAATCTTCCTGTGATTTTATTTGAGAAAAATAAAAGCTGGCCTATTTAATTAAATCATTTAATCACTGGCAGAAAGAAACACTGTGCTTTACTCAAGAGCAAATCAATATTTGGAAATATCTATATGATGTTCTATCCCTGGCCCTTTTCTGCTGAGTCATAATCGATAGTATTTCGCATTTCTAGTACTTGCCAACTATGTACGGCTATATAAATAACCTCCAACTGCTGCAAGAGACATGCAAAGGATAAGATACAACAAACATACATAAAACAATGGTAGCTTATATTAAATTAGGATGAACATATTAAATCGATCATATTTTGCAGGACAAAAGCGTACATAGCTCTGCAAATGGCAATGATTTAAAGAGATGATTCCTCATAACACTGCTACATGCATAACAATAATAACAATACAGCTTTGGTAGGTGCTTCTAGTCATGATCTCCCATTTAAGCATAGAACCTGAATGTAGGGCATGTCCCAAGTACAGCATTTTACTTTTAAAGCACAGGAAAAGTATTTTCTTAGGCAATGTTTATAGAATATGTTTTGGAATGAGGCCTAATCACTATGATCAGTAATACAAATTATTATTATTATTATTATTATTATTATTATTATTATTTCATGATCCCTTCTACTTCTGTGATCTTAAAGCCACACCCAATAACTGTCTCATTCCTGACATACATCACAATCCAAGTCAAACCAGTAAACCTAAGTCTAGTATCTACATTGACTGATTTGGTTTCATAGAAGCGGCTCCATTTCAGCACCGTCATACCACCATTTGTATTCTAGATGGGACTGGGTGATGTTTCTTTCCCCACCTTTTACGAACCATGAATTATAAATTATACATGCAAATCAGGAGGATCTAAGCTGAGATGTAGCATTCATGAGCTCAACAGAAATGACAGCTAATACTGAGTCATCAAAATGAAGCAACAACATAGAATAAATGAACAAATAAGAGGAAAGGCCCCTAATATTAACACCTAGATTCTAACATATTTAGTTCTTACTGTTAAAATGAACTGACCTCATGCACTCATTTCATGTTTAGAGGGTTCTCTGCATGCTGAAATGGTTCTTCAGATTGATAGAGAATGTATATATGGTTCTATATAGAACTTTTATTGACTTTTTTTTCTGTATAGCTCCAAAAACAAGTTCAATAGTTACAAGCTATCATAACAATAGTGTTATAAAGAAGTATTTAAAAAAAATATACAACGCATTCTCTATCAATCTGAAGAAAGATTTCACCAGGCAAAGAACTATTTAAGCATGTAAATGGTTCTTGAAGTGCTCATGGTTCTGTATAGAACCGTTGTCTTTCCTAAAGAAACCTTGACGAATCATCTTTTTAAAGAGTGATACTGCCTTTGTGTTTTGCTAGCTCACTGTTAGTGAGGCCACCAAAGAGTCGGTGGCACAAAAAGGCGAAACGCCCTTTTTTCCCTGGCAGAAAGGCCCTCCTGACTTTCCGTAGGGACCGCAGTGCGGACCGCGCCACGCCTACATGCCGGTGCTAGAGGAGAGGAGATGAGCAGAGGCTGAGGAGAGGAAAGGAGAGGAGAGGAAGCTGCCTATTTGCAAAACAACTGTTCAACTTGACAGTTTATCCACACACTGAGAGCCACGGACACGTTACCGAGGCCCTGTTACGCTCGAAAGGTCGAGCAGCTTAAATTTCCCATCTTTAAAATGTTGTTTATGTCGAAAACGCGTCTCATTGTCAAGATGCCTCATTCAAACTGAGAGACGAGCAAAAAGAAAAGTCCGCAGGACAAAACAATGAGCTGCAGACTGGAGGTGTTGCTCTGTGGCTCGTCGCAGAGCCCCAGTCTCCATATAAATGCCCCCCCACAGCCTGAATTCAGCGTGCTGAATCATGCTAACTGCGGGGGGCGACGCGCCACTGAGAGCTAAAACACTGCGTCACACCTGGATCACTTTTGTTGAGAAGAAAAGAGAAAGGGAGGGGGGCGGGGGGGTTGAGGTGGCGTGATGGCCATCGCTTTGATAAGAGGTCCAAAAGCCCTCGCTGATGTAAGGCAGGGAGGGGCTGCGGATGGCTTCTCATTAAACTCGCACTTGAAAGCAGCCCAAGTGATGAACGGGCAGTGGGACGTTTGTTTTGGCCACCTGTGGCCAATCGTGCGCATAAATGACGCAGAATTATGATTGTAGTTATTGTCTGAGCTCAAGGTTAGACTGCAGTAGCCTATATGAAGAGACAACGGATGAGGCTGAAGTTGGCTTCCTATTTGCGTTTCCGTTCTACCTTAACTGGGGCAGCGGTTACATTCTGACCGCTATGTAGGCGTCAGAATATAACCGCTGTACTATTTAAGGTGGAACGGAAAAAAATGTCAACAAGAAGCGAACTCCAGCTTCGGAGACAATCCGTGAAGTGCACACTCGGCCAAAAGCATCACTCAGCAGTCCTACCTTTCTCTATGTCCGCAATGGCACACTTCAGATGCTCGGCCGTGACGAGCTCCCCGACGACCACCAACAGGTAAAACCTGCCGTCGTCGAAGTGGTGCGCCGAGGCGGCGGTGGGCGATGCCATGTTGCCGGCTCTGGTGCCGCTGTCCGCGCAGAAGGACTCTGCGGTGTCGGCTGGTGCCACGAGCGTTGCCATCCTCACACACCCTCACATTCACACACGCATACACGCACGCGCTTGCTTGCTCTCTCGCACGCGCGTTCGCTCTCGCTCACAGAGAGCTGCTGGTGACCAGGCGAACAGCGGGGCGTTTTAGGAGGGGTCGGCGCTTTTATACCCACACACACACAAGCACACACACACAGCGCGTGTCTCAGTGGCCAGGATGGGGGAGCCTGCTCCGTCAACCAGCTGATGTCATCCTCCAAAAGTCCCCAGCAGCTCAAAGAACGAGATTTTGGTTGTTTTTTTCTTCCAAAAATAACTGAAATAACGCAGAAGCAACTATTATAGTTACACAACAAAATGTACTTTTTGACATTTCACGTATTTATTTATTTTTTTTTGAGGATACACAATAATATACTGTAACTAGAAAAGTGCATCTCCTGAAGAAAATGCAGAGTGATTGCGCAACTCAAGCTTGTTAAGATGTTGCTAGGTGGTTGCTATGGTATCCCAGGTGGTTACTAGGGTGTTGCTAGGTGACTGCTATGAAATCCCAGGTAGATGCTAGGCTGTTGCTAGGTGGTTGCTAGGGTGTTGCTAAGTGGCTGCTATGAAGTCCCAGGTGGTTGCTAGGCTGTTGCTAGGTGGTTGCTAGGGTGTTGCTAAGTGGCTGCTATGAAATCCCAGGTGGTTGCTAGGCTGTTGCTAGGTGGTTGCTGTGGTTTCACAAGTGGTTGCTAGGGTGCTGCTAGGTGACTGCTCTGAATCCCAGGTGGTTGCTAGGCTGTTAGGTAGTTGCTATGGTTGCAAGAGTGTTGATGTGTAGTTGCTAGGGTATCCCTGGTGGTTGCTAGGGGGTTGCTAGGTGGTTATGATATCCTACATGGTTAATAGGGTGTTACTGCTGGACTTGTATCTTCATGATATAAGCTGGGTGCACAAAACCTTGCACCCCATTCATTGTGCAAAAATTGTACATCAGATCAAAAAGATGTGTACAAACATGCCATTCCCATTCACACCAAACAAGCCGGAGTTGGAAAGGTGTCAATATCTTGAAAACTGCGGGAGGAGTTAGCAGACAACAATCAGGCAGAAAAACAAGAAAATGAAGCAGAAGACAGTAGAAAAACAACAGTGTTGCTTTGCAATGCGCAATCACTAACTATCTATTTATTAATGATTCTTTATTAAGTGCTTTTCCTTGGGATTTGATTAGATCATTCTGGAATCATCTAAACATCTTTTTTTTACAGCTTCCTACTAAATACTTAATACTAATAAAGTTATGCAGAACTAGCATCATGTTAAGAAGAATTATAAGATATTATTAAGAAATTTGGCTTTATTTTATTGAAAACGTGGATTCCAAACTTTTGCTGAATCACATATTAAAGGGGCACTCTGGCCAAAAATCCTATTGTAGAGCTGCTTAGTCACATCCTACAGTAGGGCCGCTTTGTCCTGTTTAAAGACTAGGAATCCCCTCTGATGCATCTTGAAGGTAAGAGGAACTTTTGAAAAGCTTTGTCTTCAGATCATCATTACAGTGGAGAGAATGGGATATGCAAAGAACAGAAATGACTCATCAGATGAGGAGGATGACAAGCTAGTAGCTAAAGTTAGCTTACTGGCTATCTAGAAAGGCTACTTTCACTTCAGTTTGGCTTTTTTCTGGCTGAAAGAGTAAAAGCTTGTCTCTGTTGATCATTTTGTGCTACAGAAAGATAGAATTACTGTTTTCTTTATGTTTTTGTTCGATGACTGAGGTAAGAGTTTGCTACTAATGCTAGCTTGGTTGTTTTCTATTAGCCTGTAATGGTTAGCAGTATTCTCCATGGTTGTATGAGGTATTTGTGTAATGCATGCTGGATATTGTAGTGTAGAGAAGAATGATGTGTAGAATGATGATTGAAAACATGAAATAAAACTGAATTCTGTCAAACTCATGGGACTGAGGGACATAATGCTGCATTATAGAATACTACAGACAAGACACAGTGTAATGTTTCTAGTGGAGAAACGCTCCATTGTCCTCTGCAGGTGTCCATGTTTTCTAGCATTTTTTTTTACAACAGACATTTTTCCAAAGCAGCAGTACAGAAATCCAGTTCCAGAGACCTATGAGCCAGTCAGTGGCGACAGTGCTAATAAAACACTGTCCAGGGTGTATCCTGCCTTCCGCCCAGTGACAGCTGGGATAGGCTCCAGTACCCCACCGCGACCCAGAAGGATAAGCGGTTTAGATGATGTATGTATGTATGTATGTATTTAGGTATTTAAAAAATAATTTTAGTCGTCAACAGGCAGGTTTGGCTGGTTACAGTTCAAATTACAGTTAAGTTTGCCAGACAAATGGATACAATTAGTAGTAGCCTACTGAAAATGTTACACATGTTCTTGAATAAAATGAAAACTCTTTGCTAATAAAAACAACAGCCTTTATTTTGTCTTTGTTCGTGTCTTCTGCTGACATAAAGTCTTTAGTTTCAAAGTGGAGGAGTTTATTAGTCTACAGTTTATCCAGGGGGAATAGACTGACATTGAATATGAAAACATAGAAAAGAAGACAGTCACCTTCTGTGAGGGCACTGATTTCATCAGAAAATTCACATTTATTTTTCAAGGAAATAATACAAGACCTCACAATTTCAATTTTGTCTGTTTTATGGGGGTCCCTTCACCCTTATAGAGGCTTTGGTACCTCTGCAGCACCTCTTTAATTCGAATCCTACACTCACATAAAACCAAAAGTGTAACCAAATCAAACCAAATGAATAAAAGGTAAAGTAGAGCTTGAAGCTAATCAATTGCTGCTACTTTTGTTTGTGTTCACAGTTAAAGCTAGACTTCATGTGAGAAATCAAATGACCACACAAGCTAAAGTAAACATAAACATCGAGGTACTTAACCAGTGTACCCCTAGTTCTGGGTTTGGATTTGTAACCATACTGTACTGCCTGGTGCCATAACTTTATACCTACAACATGGTCCAACAAGGTGTATCTGATAAGCTGGACAGCAAGTGTATACAGTGTTTAAAGACTCGTAGCAGCAACACACACACTACCATGTTGGTGTCACTGCAGTGATGAGAATGTTCCAACGTCCATATAACATCTGCTCCTTTTGTGGTCCCTTTCCTTTGATGGATGGGGTAGAGCAGGGGTGTCAAACTCAAATACTAAAAGGGGCATATTACAAAATCTCAACAAATCTGTGGGCCAGCCATGTTTTTATTTTATCTTTACTAAACATTTTGCCATGACCCCAACTGGCCATTGTTTGTTCAAAAAATAAGCACTGAACACTTAATATTTTTAAATAAAAACAAACTGTTTAATGTTTTATATAAAACAATAGACTACATTAGCTGCAGATTACTGTTAAACCTCTTTAAACGTCCCTAGTGTACAGTAGTGATTTTTAAAACTGACCATTTGCTTGAACTAGACACCTGGCACCTTTTTTATTTTTATTTTTATTTTTTTTTGCGGTGTTGTCCCATAGATTGTTGTTGGGGAGGGGGTGGGAGCATACATTACGTTAGGCTAATATTAAATGAAAATAAAAATAATTTTCAGGCCGAATAGGATTGTGCCCCAAGCCTGACTTGGACCGCGGACTTTGTGTTTGACACATGGAGGGTAGAGGGTGGCTGATGAACTGTGCAGCAAGAGATGGGCTACAGTCAGTAACTGTAAACTTACAAAGAGCCACTATATGGCAGATTTTTCGTCCAAAAAGGTACCTCAGTGTATTTGTAGGGCAAGTTCTGTTATGCACATTTTCAAGTCAAGTCAGCTTTATTTTAAACTAAGAGTATACTTCAAACAACAAAGCAACGGCGTTAGCACACCTCCCTCAACTCAGTAAAGCTAATGTGAATCGGAAATCATAACACATTATATTTCCGGTTGAAATACAGTATCAGGCAGGGTCTCTGAGCTGACTGAGTATTTTGCTTGATGATAGGTGGGGTAGTTGGAATAGAAGTTGAAATATAAGTGATTAATTTTTCATTGTTCCCTGCCGGCTGGTGCATGATGATATAATCAAAAATTTGAAAATGATTTACAAACACGTATCTCCCGTTTCCTTTTTTTATTTCTATGTTTCAATATCATTTAGGCACAGCAGCTACCTTAACAATATGTGAAACTTTCATGATGAATTAGCCAATAGAAATACCCCCCAAATTACTTGGAATAAAATCTAATTACATTAACTTACATTAAAAGTTAAGTACGAGAAGGTATTTGCCTTCTCTTGTAAAATTACCATTTCATGTTAGACAGTCTAGATAATCACTGCAATATTGTTGTTTCCTTAGTATTTATTCAGCCTTTCCCTTATCAAAATAAGCAAAGGCACTATTAATCGTCTTTCTTGCATTCCAGAAATATTGTAAGTTGGAGTGGAGGTCCCAAGTGGGATGTCACATAGAGCCCCCAGAGGTTCAGAAACAGCGGATAACGGTCAATCACATGTTCGTTCCAGTTACATGAAGTGGTGTGTAATGCTTTCTTGAATCTTGTCTTCATAGTCTCAGGCCTACACATCGTTCTCATTTTCTTGTAAGGTAACGCCTTTTGTGAAATAACGAAGATATAAAGGAGCTCTTCTGTACTAAGAGCACTGCACTGGTGCACTGGCTGCAGATGTCTGATCTGAGCACAGCGCAGGGTGATTTTCTGAGTCCTTCTGATGTCACATCAGGCAAAGAGCCAAAGTACAGATTCTGCTGGCCCATGGCGTCTGGGGGATGTTCTGGAACAGCACTGCATAGCTGTGGCCTCTTCAGCTTTTATAATATTCTCAACATTGTTAAAGCGACAGTTCCTAAAAAATAAAAAAATGAATTTGCACAGTTTTCTCTTTAACCCCTTAAAATCCCAGGCTTATTACATGCTAAGGCTTATTATTTAGTAACTAGGACTTGCAATCTTACTGTTTTTAGGTGATATAAGTGCGTAATAAAATTTTGCGTGCTCTTTTATGCAATTTTCTGAGTGTTCATTTACCAAAAACCTCTGTTTAACTAGTCAGAGTTCCAGTAGTGAAATCCAGGTGCTTATGTATATGGTTAGATAAAATAAAAGGCTTTCTTGTGCCATGGCTT